ATGGAGTTGCAGTAGAGTGCTACCAGTCGATGTACCCAGGGATCGAGTATGCAAATCACCTAGGATGACTGAAACCGTAGCTATGAGATTGCTTACTGCGTGAATGAGGCATCTGTCACATGTTTACCAGGGTGGTAGTGTTCCAGTTTGATGTTGACAACGCCAACTGTTTGCAATAGTTGAGATATCACATCCATTGGCTGCAGATAATACATAGGACCAAAGCTCCGCTAGCTCTACGAGTCCACCGAGCCATCATTTGCCCAACTCATGGTCATGGTGGCCCATAGATCATGGTACATGGTTTGCTGTCCATCCGTATTCAGACCCGGTGTGAGCATTGCGGAATTCATGTCAAAGTCTGTGTCCCACGCCGATATGTATGGCTGCATATCTTTATCAAACATGGGGCATCCTTGGTGTCCCACGCCCCTTGAAGTCAGACTCGGTGCTGTGAGTATAGCAACGCGTCTGTCGTACTTTGATTTCACAATACGCAGTATCACACGGCTTGCGGAGAGTACGTCGACACGTTTGCTAGACGGTGTGAGATCCTCCGGCCCGTCACACATGAACTCGAGGAACTCGTCAAACCGTAACTGTGAGCGTGCCCAAGCATGATCCCAGTCTGGAACCTCAGATATGGGGAAAGAGAGTCGCACGGCGAGGATCACGGAGAGGATAAACTTTGTCCAATCGATGCTTGTGAAGTACTTGAAGCTGTCGAGGTTGAGGAGGTAGTCGAACAGGGCGCGGGTGTTATTCACGCAGCGTGTGAGACGGACTGATGATGGGTGGATGAGATGAGGTTCCTTTGTGTTGGCGCGTGTGAGGCAGAAGATGGCACCGCCTTGCAAAAAGACGTCGAAGAAGAGATGTGCGAGTTTCACAGGTGCTGTATAACGTTAGAAATGTTAGCACTGCAATAAAGATGGCTTACCTGAACGAGAGAGATGTGGTACCATGGTCTCTTTCATCTCCTTGTGCTGCATCTCGAGACCCAGCAGCATAAGTTGAACCTGCTGGTTCATCTGTGGATCATTATCTCGTATCGAGTTGTTCGCCGTGGTTGTCATGTTTGCAAGTCGAACAAGGTAGCTCAGTGAAACATCACCATCAGCTTCGGCGTGGCGGTGAAGTAGTTCGCAGCACGTCGCGGTCCAGGGCGTCCACTGGGGCATGAGCAGATCCATCTTTTTCCAAGTGCAGAGGAAGCTGTCCAAACTGTGAGTAAGTTGGTGTTGGTGTATCTCAAGGAGGACGTACTTGGACACGGCGTAGTGGTATGCCAGATACGCCCGTAGTCTGTCGAGCTGCATACTGCCCCCATCGCCCGGTATCGTGTTGTCAAGATTGGGCACTTCTTGGTCGAGGTCGAGGTCACTTAATAGATCACCAGCCATACGATAGTACTGGAATGCCTGTCTGTTCTTTGGTCGCAGATGAAATGGGTACCTGTGAGCGTTAACAGGAATGCCAAACTTGTTCAGAGCTGGTATACTGACCAAGCACAGTATATGAGAATGCCTTGAAGCAACTCCATGCTCCTCTCGCCACTTGCCACGAACTTGAGGCCCAACACTTTTCGGAACTCATCGTCGTAAAGCGTATGTCCCTGCAAAGTGCGCGATCCAGAAGCTGCAGCCAATATCGATAACAAGACAAACGGTCTGGACGCAGCAAGGCTGGCCACCGTCTCATCAGGCTTCAGTACAATGACAGGGTAATGAACCAGCATCCCCCGAAACGAAACTAACAGCGACTCTGCGGAGTCAAGGTTGAATTGGGGCTTCGCATGGAAAGATTGTATCGAAAGCGTGTGAGATGAGGACGGCGTAGGAAAGCCCGTGAGCGGCGAGTCTTCGAAGCTACTGAGATCCGCGTCTGGATCGGATGGGAATATTGAGTCTATGAACTGCGCATGTGAGTCTCGAAGGTTGTCAAAGTTCTCATCGACGTCCAATTGTGTTGGAACTTCAAAGTCAATGGTGAAAGTCTTTGATGGCGCAGCTGGTGGAGGAGGCAGCGGCTGATGGGTTTCCATCGCGCTGTATCAAGTTATCAGCCTGATTTCCCCAATGCGACAGAGTATTTCCTACTATTTTGTCCTTCTTCTGCGCGTTCGCGGGCCTGTTCGCGATATACATTCTTTCTTGGACTCGAGACACCTTTCCACGTCAGATGATGCCCTGTCAACGAATCTTTGATTGGGAGGTCTTACTTGCGACAGACCCCAGGCTGTTCACTCGGCTGGCACTTTATCTTTGTAGCGCGGCAGGCTTCACAGGCTGTTGAGACCCTCTTCCGAACTGGACAAGCCTCAGCTGCCGGTGACTCGCTCGCCATTTGTGTCGAGATGTCGAGATGTTGATTGGTGGCTGTTTGGTATTGGATTGAACGATTGACAAACGTACAAGCAATGATCTAGCAGTGAAAGGAAGAAAACGTCATGCGACAATGATCAATGAGAGAGTCGTGACTTGCGCCGGTGTAATAAGGAACCGAATCATGCTCAATCGCCGACACCTCTCGGATCTTATGACCCACACAAGACAGACAGCTGCTGACATTGGATGTAAGCACGTATATATACAGCCAGTGAGAGTGAGTAATTGTATTTGGAGTCATGTTCTAGTTAGAAAAATAGAACAAAGCAGAATAGAAAAAAAACATTGGAAAACATGGCTTCTTTAATTGATGTCTTGCCTAAGCCCGCGCTCTCTCTCGCTCTCTGACACGCCTATTAAAGCATATGTTAACGCCCAGATAATAATACAGCCATTGTCAACACACAACTTAGTACATATACATACACGCATACCCTCATTCAACCACTGTATACTTCAGCCCCGGGTTTGCCTCCTTCAGAGTCTTTTCCACGATTTCCCATAGCGGCACTGCCAGCTTCTTAATCTCATACGCAGCCGTCTTAAGTCCATGTCTTTCGTGTCTGTGCCTCGCAAGATTGGATGCTGCGCATCCTATCGAACAGTATATAGTATCCCTCTTTTGATCAATGCATTCCTTGCACGCCACGGCCGTACTAGTCCAGTCCTGCATTTCGATGTCTTCATCCTCATACTGCACACATCTATCTCCGCTCTCGCAGTCGTGCTCCAGTTCGTTGTGGTCGCCCTGCTCAGGTTAGATCCAGTCAGTCTGAAGAAGCTGCCAACACTTACGACACCCCTTTCGAAGCATTCATCCGAGCACCAAACTGTCATTTCCCTCGTGCCACCCATGTGGGCAAGTGCTTGGCACACCGAGCATGAGAGAACATCCTTGGAGTCCACTGTAGCCGCACAAACCGCACATGGTGGTAGGTTATATAAGTCCTGGGAGACAGCGGGCGTCTGGCTTGCTTGGGCTCGAGTCTTATTCTGAAGCCTGTTCTGCTCAAATGCCATCTTTGCTCTACGCAGCTCATCCAGTCGGTTCTTGTGATGCTCACGTTGCGGTTCCGTCGTAAGGCTCGCTTTGTGGTCTTGTGAGATCCGATCAATGACTTGCTCAATGGACATGGCGTCGCTGGCCGCATATGCTTCGAGGTATTGCTGCGCATTTTCCACCACCTCTCCCGTTTGCGAATCCTTGAAGAAGAAATCGATATAGATCTGTTTCAACGATGCTGCGTCGTCGTTTTTGGCTGCTGTGATTTGATCGGTAAGGGAGTCCACGTCGGCTTCCCAGTTGGCTGGCTTGCCAACACCCTCCCATATCCTCTCAGTGAGCTCTTCCCAGCGCTTAACCGGGTCGTCTAGCATTGCTCGCAGCTCGTCTTGATCTGCCCCGCCTTCTCCTACTGAGAGGAACTGCGGGTACATGCGTAGCACCCAGCGGTACCATGCCTCTTTTTCCGATGCGATACTGTCTTCGATTGACGTGAGGTCGATCTTCTTGTGGTCTTTGACATCTGCAAACATGACGTCCAGTTCATTCAGAAATGCTCTTCGCTCTGAGAACCACTCTCTGCCCTCAGCATCGCAGTATCGAGCACGCATCCTGTCAAGGACCTTGGGGAAACACTTTTCGCATTCCACCACGCTTGCTTTTTCGCATTCTGATAGACACGCCTTCTTGATGGCATCCACTTCGTCGGCGCATTGTTGCCTGTGCACTCTGGCCGCGCTCAACTCTGTCCAGTGTTCTGGCAGAGCAACCTTGCCCGTCGAACCCATTTCTCCCAATCCTGACGTGACTAGGTTGAATCTGTTCTTGATCTCTAAGTAGTAAACTTGTAAGAATGACCAATTCGTGGGGTTGCCAAAATGTCAGTAAAGTTGAGGTTTTTGAACTTTATATACAAGATGAGAAGCGGTACTGAGTATGTCAATGAATTAGTAGTTCGTAGTTAATGCGTGGTCTTTTTGTGTTTTATCAGTTCGTGTTAACGTCGTCTATTATTGTTCTTGATGAAATGAGAGGCAGGGGCCATTAACTGGAGATCTGTAGGTAAAGCCCAAACTGCCGATGTTTAGGCGGTGTATACCAGCTGGCCAAGGTAGCTGTTTCATCCTCAATCGCTACAGATCATCAACAAATTCTTTTTTATCCTATACAGTAGAGGCATGATGTACCTTAGGATAGCAGAGCATGTTTAGCCCCTATGTTTTTAAGCAAGTCTTGGACAGCACCAGTTTGGCCACCTGAAAAAGGTCTCATCATCTTGACTTACATAGAAATGAGTAACGACCTATAAGGTATTTGACATATGAACCAGATCAACAACGCCCATAAGGACACTAATGCAACTAATTTTTGTATATAGAAAAGGATTAAAAGGCGACGCAGTAATGTCTCTTGTATAACTATTTCATTTGCATGAATCTCTATCAACTTATAAGACATTGCTGTACATGTCCTGGTTGTCTGGGTCCTGGCGTTAAGGTATGCACATACCGAGGCGCCCTATCTTATCAGGCGCAACAACTTTCATCATTTCGCGATCTCGTCGCATTCGTTCGTCTGCTCACAAACAACCATCTCTTATATCAAGCAAAATGGTACGTCTCTTCCAATCCCGATTTACGAACATCGCATGCTGACATATAGAAAGGCCGACAAACTCCGCACCCAGCAAGAACTCGAGCGCCTCCAAGCGAAATACGTCGGCACTGGTCACCCAGACACGACAAGCTGGGAATGGCGCACCAACATCCAGCGCGACACATACTCTTCCATCGCCGGCCACAGGCCTCTTCTCTCTTATATCGCGCTTGCCGAGAATGAACCCATTATCAAGATTCGCGCGCAGATGATTAGGGTATGTCAAGCTACTCCTTGTCAACAACGACCAATAGCTAACATATTGGGCGCAGAAAATGGTGCAGCCTTGTGGTCCTCCTCCGCCACGCGAGGATTAGAACGAACGGACAGTACGATGTCGCAGGCAGAGCTAAGAGATTCAACGTGGTTTTGTTCGCTCGGGAAATTGGAAAGGCGTCAAGGATTAAATACCCCTATGGTAGGGAAGATTTTGGACCTACAATACGATGTTTCATCATACAAATTTGTTTCAAGCTTTGAATTGAATGTTTGGTCTTCATTGGGGTATCATAATGTCGGCATTAGTCCTCATCCCTTTTGTCTTATCTCTGCATTCGACTGCCCTCGCCCAGGGCTTCATCTTCTTCGTCGCCGTCCTGCTGAGGCGCATCCCTGATGTTTAGACTCGAACGAAGCTTCTTCTCGTTGTCATCATTCCAGCTGTCGCCATAGACCTCCCGCGTCATGCCCATCACACCGTCAACACCGACTTCTTCTTTTCCACGAGGACCGACATGCCACGTCGTAGTCGGGTCGCCGTCTTGACCCAAAGGTGGTCTTTCAACTCTCTTGACGACGTAGCCTTGTTTCTCCATCCTCTTCAGGACTATTTCTGTCTTGTCCATTGACACATTCCGGTCGGCATTAAGCCGCTGGAGATAACGCTTCAACTTCTGTTCGCTCAATTCTCCGCCGCTCAGGGAAATCACGGAAATGATCATTGTGTAGAATCCTGCGTATGTAGCTTCGTCGTCCGCACTTGGTGTCTTGGATGGGGTAAGGATTGATGCATGGCGATACGCATCTGGTAATATCGACGTCAGGATGTAGGCGCCAGAACCGAGCTTGGGCTGGGCATTGGACTTCATAGCTATGTGTTATTAGTAGCCGGATCAAGTACGATGGATGAAGGCTGTACCTTGACGCTTTTCCTGGAGTGACATCTTCTCTCTAACAGGCAACTCCCTTAATTCCATGCCCCAGACCCGTTTGAGCTGTGTCTGCGCCAAGTCGAATATCCGCCTGAATGAACGGCCTTGGGTCCCGAGGACTGTTCCTGACTTAGCTTTGGCCTGTTATCCCGCAGTTTCCATTGTTACCTCGCTCTTTAATACCGTCGCGGCGGATTGCGGTTCTCGAATATTCGCAGGAAATAACATACCGCACCAGCTTCTTCACCAGTTGGTCGTCGGCGCTCTGGGCATGATGCTGGTCTCCATCCATTTCGGCATCACTAGCTTCTTGTTCGTGCTCTTCCTCGGAGTCTGCCCTGTTCCGTTGACGGGGACGAACATCTTCCTCTGATTCCTCGTCTTGGGCCTGAAGCGTATAGTAAGTTAGAGCTTCGTCCTTAGTGAATCACTGAGGAATTGAACTCACAGGACGGCGGCGCCTTTGTGGAGGCATAGTAAGGGCTAACAATTGTTGTTACTCAATATCAAATCTTACACAGATACTCAGATTGGTGTTGCAAAGATGCAAATATTGGCGATTTGTATGAATGAAAAAGATGGAGGGGGTGGCTTATACAGACAAAAGGCTATACGCGGTCTTCGCCCTTCCCAACTTAGACGCGTTGAGTCCTGTCACGCAGCGGGAGCTTATCGCTTATCCTGTTATCGCTTATCGGATAAAATTTCTAGTATCACTGGTCTCTCTCTACCTTACCTTAGTTTTGGGCAAGTTTTGGTCGAACTGTCGCATCCTGCTCCCTCAATGGGGCTTCCATATTTATTCTTTACTTCTCAATGATTTCTAGAGCGGTGCGAGTGCCGCGTATTCGCCTGGCATGCAGGTTTGGCTTAATAACACAACGAAGCACTGGGCTGGGCTTTCGACCAAGTCCAGTCCATGAATGCCTGGCACGACGATTATATACATCCGACCTTGGAAATGCTGGGGAGAACAAGGTTGAACCTTTCATAACGAATATGGACGCTTCGAAAACAACGCCAAAAGAAGAGGAATTGGACGACGAGTCAAAAGTTTCAGCTACAGCATCAGAAGAGGCGAAACCGGTTCCGGATTTTCCCTCCGCCACCAACGTCGACTCTGAGCCAACTAGTAACTCTGAGGAACTTCAATTAGACGAGGACCCGATCTCCAAAGACACGAACTCATCTCCTGGCGACGAGACATTCCCGGAGATCCTAATTGACGACGTACTGAACGAATCCTCATCACAATCGCAATCGTCAAGATACGTTTTACCTGACCTACCCGACTTTCCCAAATCGTCGTCAGGATATTCACCTAGTCCCGAACAGTATGCGCTGGACGAACTCTTGGGAGAATCGCAGAAGCCAGGGATCGAGGCTTATGAACTGCCTGAACCAGAAGCCCTAGATGTTGGAGATGATCTCATGCCTCTGCCAAAGAGACGCCTCCACGATCGTCTTATGCACGATGAATCCCTCGGAGTTTCTACTCTGGGAATGCCAGCGGATGCCATCATTATCAACAATCCGAATATGACACGCATCGAGCGGCCAGCCCCCACCGTGGTGGAAGCGAAACCTTTAGACACTACAGATCTTGACTGGCAAAACTTGACTCCTTCCGGAATGACGGAGCCTGAATCTGAAGAGATATTCAAGAATATCGACGAAATTTGCCCCGTGGGTCGAATTTTGCGTCAAACTGATATCGACAAGCTCGTCAGCACTCTTTGCGACGGTTTCACACTCACCCAGCTGCGGGAGTATCACAGTGCTCGCAAGCCAGAACCCAGGGATCATGACATGGTAAAATACGACTGGATAGAAGAGATTGTACCATGGACATCAATGAACTCAGTTCGACTGCGTGGCAATGATAAGGCCACTCTTGCTCAAAAGATCGTGTTGGATAAATGGAAGATCGAGGTTCAGGAACATGCGGACGATCTTGGAAAAGCGTTTGTTTGGATGGATCCTGACATCTTCCCCTTTCTCACATGTTTGTTCCCAAGAACCTGGCCTTGATGGTATATTTGCTGACTGACGGTCATAGATGGCCCCAATAACATAGGTCGTCTACTTTGGGAGCTCAGGAGGGATTTCGTAGTCGGCGAAGGCGAGAAGTTAACTCTGCATACTCCGAAGTGCCGTCTAAATATTACAGCGAAGAAGTCAACTGCTTACGGTATCCTCGCTCATATCGACCAGGCCGTGCAGAGGATGGAGAGCCGGGTTATCGACGTTGCCTCCTTTCTTCCGAAGCCTCGATCAGTAGCTCTGACGCAGGCAGAGCGCAAGGAGCTCGGCCGGCTGACCAAGACTTCAATCACGCCTGTCAGGCATGGCTCCGAAGAGGTACGAAATTTCACTTGTCACTGAAACGTACATAATACTAACTGGTATAATAGAAGTTGCGTGTCTCCTGGATGCCCCAGCCTGACGAGCCTCCAACCGAGACAGAAGACCTTGCAGACACAGTACTCCGCTTGATCGTTGGCCGTGCCGTCCCGGGCGCCGCTCACAGTGTCCTCCAGTGTCTTCCGCGATCTGACGACCAAGACTTGGTCACTGGCCAGCCCGTGCCCGTACAACGCCAGGCTCGGGCTATGTCGTGGAGAGACAAGCTCCAGAAGTGGCTGAGAATTGTCGCACCCATCAGCAAGGATACTCAAAACACTCCACAGCTAGGGCTACCCTCCGAATCAGTGATTCCCGAAGAGAAGTGTCCTCGCACTAGAAATGTAGACGCTACTACAGCAAAATTTGGCCATATCCTACACCAACACGCCAGCACTTCGATCAAGGAACTTCAACGCAAACGCCGCATCCTGGCTCCCCTTACACCTCATCCCGCTGCTTTCTCCGCCCTCAAACCTGACAACGACTTGCCCCTAAAGGAGACTACTTCCATTGTTATGCACCTTTCGCCTCATGTCGATACCTCAAAGAGTCCAGTGACGGATTCTAATGGGAAACTACGTGCAGATCCTGCTGCCTACATTACCATCCCCGTCCACCCTCAGGCCGATCTCGACAACTTCACAATCCCAGACGACGCAACTGTCCACATTTATGTGCCGTGGCACAACAGTGACGTGCTGCTTCCTACAGAGGCTGTAGATGTCCGCCTTGAGCACAAGCGCTCCTATGCTCTAAAAATAACTCACCCAGGCATAAAGAAATTTTTTGAGAAATCGCAACTTAACCTTCGGGAGGGTCAACTTAGAACACCGAGTCAAGCCGTGCTCTGGGTTCCAGGAAATTGGTTGCGAGGAAGCGGCAGCGGCAGGATGAACACTGCGAAAAGAGACGTTCTTTACGACTTCCGTGGAACTGAGATCCATCAGACCGTGGAAATGCCTTGGAATGGCCACACACTGCGCTACTCTAGCATTGAGGCTGGGCAGCATGGCGGCCAACGCCAGGAGATTACACTCCAGGCTGGTTTACCAGGCGAGAATCCGGTTGCTTTTAAGGACAAGAGACGTGAGAGCTTTTTACAACTGGTCGAGGACATGGCCACTGGAAAATACTTCTCCTGGTCTGAAGGCTACAAGTCCATCAAGAGCCGCCAGCTAGAAGATTTCAGTTACAATCTGCTCGAAGAGGATCTCCCTGAGGACATCATTGTCGACAACGAAAAGTTTGATTCGCACGGCCGCGTGAATAGATACAGACCAACTACGAGCGGAGGCAGTGACAAGCCCGACCGGCGTGGTCTCTTTAATCAACATAGGCCAGCCTTCGAGATGAGCAATGATAAGCATGATTCGCGACACCGTATCGGTGAGCGTGAGTCAGCCACGAATGCGAACGGTGGCGAAGTTGAAATCCGTGGCCGTGTGGATGCACGCACACCTAGCCCAGAGCCAAAGGAAGAAACTCCAGTTGACACGTTTGACGACATAGACGCATTGCTTGCGGCGGAGGACCCGACTTCTGAACTCAACCCCGACACAGCATCCAAGTCTGACAAGCAACATGTTAACTGGACCGATATTGACGAGAAACTAATCGCCCCAAGTAAAGCGACAGATCAGCTCATGGGTTTCCTCGAGAAGTACGCCACCCCTAAGGCCTTTTTGACTGAAGACAATAAGGAGGTCTACGGCATCGACGCTGCCTACAAATACATGACGAGCGTTCCTTGGGATAATTCTCCAATTGACATATCGTCAGACTTGCCAGAAGACGCGGTCACACCACCTAAATCTCAGAAGAAAGGGGTTGCAACTAAAAAGGAGAAGACTCACAAAAAGGTCCAGAGTAAGAAACTCGCAACCCAGGAGCCAGCATTCAAGGCCAAAGTAACACCAAAGAAATCAGTAACTACTGGGAAAGCCAAGGACAAGCCAAGCAAAAACACCCTCCCTAAGCTACAGAAATCCGCCACAATGTCAGATGTAGATGCATTCGCGGCTCAGTTCGCCAGACGAGCGACTTCAGAAAACAGAGGGCAGGACCAAAATAGTGTCATTGGGTTCTTCGACACCCTTCCAAAGGAGAAGAAGCCTGCTAAAAAGAAGTCAGCTCAGAAGAAGAAAGAGTCCACTTCAAAGAAAAAGCAGCCGGCATCGAACGACTCGAAAAGCAAAAAGCTTTAAACCGCTCTCGAATGAAGTGCTTGAATATGCTACGACAACCGAAACGATGTCAGGAGTACGAACGCCGGTATGAATAAGGACGATCTTTCATGAGGCTTGTGTGCCCCCCCTCTTGCGCCTCTGTGTGTCTACAGCGCCATGCCGGTTGTGATGTGCACGTTGTAAATGAGGAAATCGTGAAATTGCGAGAGGCAGTTTTGGATACAAAAGAAAAAGGAAGAGATAATATTGTATATTAACGGCATATGTATCATAGTTATGAAGGTAGCACCATTATTAGACGAATGTATAGAGAGGGGCAGTATGTATCATTAGACACACCAAAATACAGCAAACATCGAGACATCAAGGAAACATACATAGTGGTACAGTGTACACTGCATCACTGTGATCGCCCCACGCACTGAACCATCCGCCAGTACTCGCTACTGGCACTTCCGGTGTCGACTTATACTTACGATAGCCCAAGTCAATCAATTGAGCACGAGGCACATCACAAGAAGCTTCATTTGCAGCAGTCACACATCACATCACAAGCATCATGGGTAGGAACAACAAAATTTTGCACGAATCACTTCTAGACTCTCTATTCTTTTTGATTTGCACACAACCGAGATCCTGGCCTTTTTTTCTTTGCCTCTCATTATGTGCCCCCAGACAAAAGCCGAGTGCTCATGCCAACATGATCATTTCGTCGTAGAAGCGAGTACATCAGCCCTTGGGCGTGAGATCGAAGTCGTAAGATCCCACTGAAGGTTGTCATTTCAGAAATAAGTTGCTTATTTCTTGGCGGCCTTGGCAGCGGACTTGGTGACCTTGCCGGCAGCACCAGTGGACTTCTCGACGGCCTTGATGACACCGACGGCGACGGTCTGTCGCATGTCACGGACGGCGAAACGACCCAGAGGAGGGTAGTCAGTGAAAGCCTCAACACACATGGGCTTGGAGGGAACCATCTTGACGATGGCGGAGTCACCAGACTTGATGAACTTGGGAGCGGCCTCAGTAGCCTTACCGGTTCGGCGGTCGATCTTCTCCTGGATCTCGGCGAACTTGCAGGCAATGTGGGCAGTGTGGCAATCGAGGACGGGAGCGTAACCAGCACCGACCTGACCGGGGTGGTTGAGGACGATGACCTGGGCGGTGAAAGAAGCGGCACCCTGGGGGGGGTCGTTCTTGGAGTCACCAGCGACGTTACCACGTCGGATGTCCTTGACGGAGACGTTCTTCACGTTGAAACCAACGTTGTCACCGGGCTGGCCCTCAGCGAGCTGCTCGTGGTGCATCTCGACGGACTTGACTTCAGTGGTGACGTTGGAAGGAGCGAAGGTAACGACCATACCGGGCTTGATGACACCAGTCTCGATACGGCCGACGGGAACCGTTCCAATACCACCGATCTTGTAGACATCCTGGAGGGGAAGACGGAGGGGCTTGTCAACGGGACGCTTGGGGGGCTCGATGGAGTCAATGGCCTCGAGGAGGGTCTTGCCAGTGAGCTTGCCGGACTTGATCTCACGCTCCCAACCCTTGTACCAGGGGCAGTTGGTGGAGGGGGTAAGCATGTTGTCACCGTTGAAACCGGAGATGGGGACGAAAGCGACAGCCTTGGGGTTGTAGCCGACCTTCTTGATGAAAGAGGAGGTCTCCTTGATGATCTCCTGGTAACGGGCCTCAGACCACTTGGTGGTGTCCATCTTGTTGATGGCGACGATGAGGTTCTTGACACCAAGGGTGTAGGCAAGAAGAGCGTGCTCACGGGTCTGGCCATCCTTGGAGATACCAGCCTCGAACTCACCAGTACCGGCGGCAATGATGAGAATGGCGCAATCGGCCTGGGAAGTACCAGTGATCATGTTCTTGATGAAATCACGGTGACCGGGAGCGTCTGGATGACATGTTAGTAAGAAGAGATGTAGTACGGATCATGAGCGACAACATACCAATGACGGTGACATAGTAGCGAGGAGTCTCGAACTTCCAGAGAGCAATATCGATGGTGATACCACGCTCACGCTCGGCCTTGAGCTTGTCAAGAACCCAGGCGTACTTGAAGGAACCCTTACCGAGCTCAGCGGCTTCCTATTGTCGGATGGTTAGTGACTGCTTGACACGTGACGATGCGCTCAATGAGGTTGTGGAATGGGAGAGGGCAGAAACGCGCCGCTCGAGTGGCGGGGTAAATGCCCCACCAAAAAAATTACGGACATATCGCAAAATTTTTGGACTCGAGCGGGGTAGCGGGCACGTTTCGAGTCGTAGGGAGAAATCGGTGGACAAAGGACGCGCGATCGAAGGGATTGTGACTAACCTTCTCGAACTTCTCGATGGTTCGCTTGTCGATACCACCGCACTGGTAGATCAAGTGACCGGTCTGTGAAGCAATGTCAGCATATTTTCTTTTGAGAAATACCCCGCCAGGTCCTGGTCGGGTTTACGATGGCCGATAAGCTCATCATCAAGGGTAGTACTCACAGTGGTCGACTTGCCAGAGTCGACGTGGCCGATGACGACGACGTTAAGGTGAGTCTTGTCCTCCTTACCCATTTTGACGTTTGTGAATGGTTTTTGATAAGGTTTTTGATGTACGTGCTGTGAAGAGGTCAGCGGCCGAAGAGGCAGTGAGGGGAGACCAGGCGATTATCAAGAAGATGATCCAAGAGCTTGCAGTAAAGCGATAGATCTTGTCGATGTTCTTGATGGAAGGCCTTGAAGGGTTGTACATACAAAATCGCAGATCGGATGCTTGAACCGGGTATGCGAGACGAGGAGGGAAGAGAAGAAAAAATTCAAGGGAAGTGGTGGGAGGAGGAGATTTAAAAGGCGAGCCAGAGGAAGGAGGGGGGGGGTGGGGTGAAAGGCAGAAGCGGCGCCGCGGGGCAACCAACTTGGCAAGCCCTAACAGCTCGAAGGTTTTTTCACAAGGCAGGTGGGTCTGCATGAGCCAATCATTAAGCTCCAAAGCATAATGACGGCGAGTGAGTAAAGGCTTCAGGAATGGTACGAGGAGGGGCAGAAGAAGCTCGACGAGGACGAGATATCAGAGGTTTGTCATTAATATCGAATGATCAGGATCAAGTATCTACGGTGGCCATTACGAGATCACACTGCACAGCCCGCTGCGCATTTGGACGAGTCTTTGCAGTGTTGTTGGCCGCTGTTGAAGCTGATATCTGGAGGAGCGAGCAAACTGGCAGTTGAGGTTCAGCGCAACACATCGATTCTCAACGAACGAACAAGCCCGGGCACCCGAGAGGAATCTCAGTAAAGCCGCTGTCCTCTAGGCTCTAGTGTACTACGAAGGTAGGTACAGCATTTAGAAATAGAAACATCACCATGGCGCCTCTAGCTGCTCTATCAGCAGCTCAATAACCTATCTCGACCTCTTTCAATATCTGTCTTCCACCCACCAGGGCAACTGCAAAAGCGCTGGTTCTGCGTGGAGGTACAAGCGAACTGTTAGGCGGGTACATGCGGGGCACAATTTTTGCTATTCTTTTCTTGTGCGCATCGCCGCCCAAAGGAAAATTTCTCACTACGGCCTGAAGAAAAATTCGATCATGCTGGCGGTCGAGGCTCGGTGGGTTACCCTTTCGTGTGGTGGATGCGCGGGCGCGTCCTAAAATTGTCTGGGGCCTGCTTGTGGCCGGCCTGATACAGAGACGAGCATGGCTCGGGGACTGAGGTGTTCTGCCCAACGCAGCATCTGAGGATTTTTTTTGCCCCTCAATTTCACGTCCGTCAGCCCAACGCAACCACGGCGTGAGTCACTTGAGTAATCTTAATATCTTCTTCCTGAATTCCCTCGCGCACAATGTCACACCGATAAGAGTATACTGACCGAGCGACTCCCTCTGTTGGCTCTCGCTCTGCATTTTCTTCTGCGTTCGACCACCAAGGGAGGGGAAGCTTCAAGATTGCCCCTCCTCTATGGCGCGGTCTGTTTCTGGCTCAAACTCCCTGCACGAATCAACGTCATGCTCCACTGTATCTTTTAGCGCCTGTGGGTTGCCACCAGCGCTGCGCGACCAGTGCACGGAAGATCTAGCCTTGGCTGGGATGTGTGAGGTGGTCAAACAGGAAGTTGACTGTCTCATATCAAAATTTTCAAGCTGGAGGGGTAATACGGTACGGATAGGCAAAAGCGAATATCAACAGGTCAGTCACTGTAGGCATTGTGACACCGGGCAGATCATGTTTTGATCGCTTCCACTAATGTCCAGAATATTGGTGAGGTCAATCACATTGACCATAATCTCCGCTCACTGTTGCATTTCCTCCTCTTGGTCTTGCGCCTGTGTCTCGCCCAGCTGTTGTTTACTCGTGTTGGGTTGTGTTGTGCCCCTCCCCCTCCTTGTCAACAACCCCTCCATCAAAGTATGGTCCAAGCAGAGGCTGCTGGGATCAATAGCCTCTAGCCACTGAACAAGCGCGCCAGAGCAGAAAAGAAACCACAAGGAGGGGCAAAAAATCATGTCCAGCCACTGTGGAGCCCGCACGAAGCGCAGCTGCAGCTCACCTCACCTTGATCTGTCGCGGGATAGTCGTGCGCTTGGTGGAGGAGGTCCAGATGAGGACCCTGGGGGTTGATAAAACTTCTGACGTTAAATTAGGATGCCAAAATCAGCTGTTCCAAAATGCCTCTTGAGATATACCAAGTTTGCCCATCTTTTCATCACTTTGGGTACAGGTCTTGGGTTTTCTTGCCTCCTGGGGACCTTGCGATTTCATGCAGCTTCGAGTGCCACTCCGATATCTCGAGCCATTAAGGAATTGCCAGATTGTCAAACGCAAAAGTTAGCACCGCCATACTTTATCCGTATGACACAGCTGAAACTATCATCCAGCTGCTATGTACTCCGACGGCTCTGACGGTATAAGTGTATCACTGTAAGCTTAATGGAAGAAGAGCCTTTGAGTGATGTGAGATCTTTCTTGTCCATTGGATCTCTCGTTGAATCTAGGAGGCTGTGCTCCCTTGTTGATGGATTGTTGCGGCATGTCAATAATCTCTACATAGACATAGTTATGGCGCATATTCACGGCGGCTATTGTGCATCGTCTCCATCTGGATATAGTTTTTGTTGTCACGTTGGAACTCTATCCGAAGGGGTTTATCCGCAGTGGATATGCCCTCGCCGCATGCATCGGCTCCGCCGTAGGCCTGTCGCCTCGAAATTCTCCTCCAAGTTACGGAAGATATCGTGAGACTCAAGTGGAGGACGCACCATATGATAACGTCTCATGATTCATCGATGAGGAATTTTCAAGCCCTCTTCGCTTTCGTAGACCGCTACTATTGATATGGATGTGATATTGGTGAGAACCTGAGGTGTCAAGAACTTTGGTGATCTCGATGCCATGTTTAGGGTAGCATCAAGACACACAACACAAGGTAACTTGGACGAAATTGACCATGATACACCACCTGATACAAGCCAAGCTTTACTGTTACCAAGGAATTATTATGAAAGTCTGTGCATGTTATGACCAATGGTAGTAATTGTGAAAATCGAGTGCCGCTATCACCTCCCTGCTGAGCTTGACCTATCCTGGCGGCCAAGCGGAGCCATTCTAATGTCCATATAAAGACAACATCCCCCGGCTCGTGTTACACATGAATGTATGAGTTGGGCGTTGTAAGCTCGTACAAATTATCCCAGACAGTACAGTTAAAACCGAATTACTCAACCAGAAGATATCGGTTGTTCAATTGATTATACAGATCTCGAAACCAGCTGCTTTCTATCCAAACCTCAAGAGCTGAGGCGTATCCAATTTTGAGCCTTCTCAACACCACGAAACAACGACACTGCGACCATACAATGCGGTCACTCAACGACTCAATGACCAGTCAAGAAATAACAGTAACAGTGCCGATGACTCGATCACCACCGCCCTCTACACCCGAATTCCATCCAATTACTGCGCAGCGCCCTGCACGCTCCCGTCTGTGAAACTGCAGCACCCCGTCACTGCCTACAACGGCCCCCTTTTTTCAACAGGATATAGCCCGTCACAATAGTACCTATCTCAACAAGCAATACCAAAGACTTCTTGGTCGAACGGTTAAAGCAAACGAAAGCCCGTATAGAGTAATAGTTAACTCGTTGGACTCCTATAACAGTATAGGTGATAGCCAAGGATCCTGGTGCAAATCCGGGTGCGGGTGGTATTTTTTGCCTTTTTTGGGGTTTCTACTTCTTGTCTGCAAGACAAGCTGTTTTTATTCTGCACGCAGTGCGGTTCGAACACACTCTTGCTCATCCTGTTGTGGGAGACTTGAATCACGAGGGCAGTATGCTGTGCACTCAGTTCTAAACGCTGATCAACACCATAACCACCGCAGAAATCTTAAGGAGAAAGTAAGTCGTAACTAGGCGTAAAACATCAAAAGTCGATGTATGCTACAATTATCTATGAATGCTGCTATCTACCTCAGTCAAGTCCAGCTTGACCAATATCCATATAATATACACATACCCTTCATGAATTGTCATTGTCTATAAATAGACCTTACTGGACCTTACTCTCAACTTTCTTGCCCTGAGTATTCATACCCTTTGGCGTCTTCAACCCTCCAAACACCGCTGCAGCCACAACAGCAATACCTGTTGCGCCCATACCATATGCTACCTCACGGCCAGCCCACCAGTACACACTTGTGAACAGGATAGGACCGAGGCCTCGGCCAAGCTGGCCCCAACTTCGTAACATGCCGAGCTTATTGCCGCGTTCATCCTCGTGAGCTTCGAAGCTGGAAAGTGCATTCAGACCCGTAACGACGGTAGCGGATGTAACGGCCAGGCATGTAGCAGCGAGATACAGACCACCGATTGTGTTGACCTGTCCCAGGAGAACAAAGGACGTAAGGCAAGCTAGTGTGCCGATTCGAACAGACATCAGAGGTGGGAGTCGTCGCGTGACGCCGCCCTGGAGAATAGATGCCACAAGACCAACATAGCCAAGTAATCTTCCATTCTTGCCGGAAGTGAACGAGAAGAGCTCGTACGTCATAAAGGACAGAGAACTCTCCATACCGGAAAAGAAAAGCAGGAAGACGAAGTGGATTGCGTTCAAGAGAAAGTGAGAGTTAGTCCTCTCAACAGCCTTGGGTATAGCCTTCTTCTTCCCACCATCCTTCGCCTGAGCACCGCGTAGCGAGGGCAACGTCTCAGGCAGGCTGAAGTATAGATACACTGTCTCCACAACGATCAGCGCAAGACTGAATCCCGCAGCCGCCGCAAACGGGTTCGCCGTGAATGTCGAGAATGTGCTGAGCCACGCGCCGAGTCCAGGACCGAAGGTGAAAGCGATTGAGAAGCACGCGCCGATCAGAGCCATAGTTGCACCGCGAGAAGACTCATCCGAGATATCACTCGCCATCGCTGTAGCGAGCTGCACGTTGCCTTCTGATAAACCACCAACGACACGACTAGCGATGAATGTTCGGAAATCGACGGCGGCAACCCAGAGCAGGACGGAGAGAATATTACCGCACATGGAAGCCAAGAGCGCTTTGCGACGGCCATATCGGTCGGAGAGGG